GGGGCCAGCTGGGGGCCAGGCCCGGGTGCGCCCCGCTGACCCCACGCCCTCGGTCCCACGGGCAGATGCAGAGGCGCGGACGGAGCCCAGCCCTGGGGCGCCTCCGCTCAGCGCCCCCATCCTCCCCACGTCCCGGAGGCCCGGAGGCAGCGAGGCGAAGGGGGCGAGCCCACGGCCTCCCCGGACCCGCTTCTGAACCACGAGGACGCCCACGCCGAGCCGCGCCACCCACCTCGGAGCTGCCCGGGAGAGCCGAAGGGACGCGGCTCGGCGAGGAACCCGGCTGCCGCTGGCGGGGCTCCGGGGAGGTCACGAGAACGGAGGCTGTTTTCTTCCACGTCCAGTCTCTCACTTCCGCCGCTGTGGCGTCGCTCACGGACCCCGAGTCCCAACCCCGCACATGGAGAAAATGGCGGCAGCGCCCGCACCCCTCAAATCCAAGGAGCGCCCATCGGCCCTGTTGCCAGGTGCTGACACTCTGATTGGACTGGCTGAGGCCACGTGATCACTCCTGCCCCAATCGCCAGAACCAGGACAAAGCCAGTGGGAAGTGTAACAGCCTTTCCCATTGGCTCTGGACCGAGTCTTGATGCTGATTGGACTGATTGCGACCAGGTGATCACTCTGTGCCCGTCATGAAGCCAGGACGCAGGCTACGGAATGCCTGGCGCCTTCCCCACTGGCCCTCGACAGGTCCTGATACGCCGACGGCCCAGCTTTGAGCGCGCTGCCGACGCCGTGTGTGCCCCGGAGTTCCAGCCCTGGGAACTGCAGCCTGCACGCCCCTGGGGGGATTGCTGGGAGCTTTCGGCTCCAAGGAGCGAGGCCCCGCAGGCCCGTGTCCAGGGCAGCGGCGCCTGTGCTGATAGGCCTGTCCTCAGGGCGGAAGGCCAACGGCCCTGGCGTCCACTCTCAGTGCTGGGGACGGTGCCCAGTGGCAGGCGCTGACAGGCAGAGACGCCTGCGGCTGGGCCCCCCCGGAGCTGCTCCTCACCTTCGGGGTCCTCGCCCCGAGCCCACCCCCCATCCGTGGCCCACAGGCATGATTTCATCCCGGTATTACGGCGTTCCCTTCTGCACCTGGAAACACGGGCTTGCTGAGTGGAGGCAGCAGGGGTCCCTCATCCCAGGAGGGCACCTGCAGAAGCCCCTGCTCCGGGAGTGCTGAGCCGCCAGCAGCCTGCGCTCTGCAGACAGCAGTGCTGGGCACATGGCATGCGTGGGAAGCGAACTGTGGCTTTTAGGAAAGATTCCTTATTTTAACAGTGGAGAGACGGGTCTTCCATTCACTGGTTCACTAGCCACGTGGCCACAATGGCCGGGGCTGGGCCAGGTGAAGCCAGGAGCCTGGAACTCCATCCAGGTCCCCCATGCGGGTGCAGGGCCCAAGCACTTGGGCCATCACCACTGCTCCCCCGGGTGCATCAGCAGGAGCTGGAGCGGAAGCAGAGCAGCCGGCGCTCAAAGCCGGCCTCGTAAGCGGCGGCTTCGCTTGCCGCACAAAGCCCACACGGTGGCTTTTTAAGCCCTGGAGGTTCCTTTTGGGCACCAGTTCGAGTCCCGGCTGCTCCACTTCCAATCCAGCTCCCTGCCAATGCACCTGGGAAAGCAGCAAAGGAAGGTCCCAGGCTTGGGCCCCTGCACCCACGTGGGAGACCTGGAAGAAGCTCCTGGCTCTGCCTGGCCCAGCCCCAACCATTGCAGCCATTTGGGAAGTAACCAGCAGATGGAAGATTTCTCTCGCTCTCTCGCTCTCTCTCTCTCTATCAAACACATAAATATTTTATAAAACATTCATTCAAAGAGGACACATGCAGAAACATTCAGGATCAAATAAACATTTGGAGTCACATTCGGACTTTACAGAGGACCGCTGGTCAGCGTCCACGTTTTACATGAACCGTTGGTTTCCATCGGTCACAGGGCTGGAGACGCTCCCCGCCTGGGGGCCCACGTGAGAAGCTGCCCCACAGGGCCCCGGGAGCCGGCCTCGGCCGATGTGTGGGGATGAGCAGCGTCGGTGAGATGCGTGTGGGGCGCAGCAGGTGCTCGCCCGCCCGGGCTCTGTGAGTCCTCGCCCCAGCCTGTGGGCAGCTGTGACGGTGACCGTGTGTAGATGGCAGCCGAGTACTGCAGCTGGCCATGGTCTTGCCCTTGGGGGAGACAGGCTGAGACTCCACTAATGCACATCACAAGGACACTTGCGGGTGCACAGAGCTGGAGAAGGGGTGGGGTCCCCACGGTGGGGACAGTGAGCATGCTGCTGAAGGGTGTGACGCATCACCAAGGTGTGGGGCCACAGCTGCAGACCCCAGACCTGGTTGACTCCTGGTTTCTCCACAAGCAGAGAAAGTTCTGGAAACTGCATGGAACACTGAGCAGTCCGGCAAGACTGCTGCCCTACAGAGCAGATGCTGTGGTGGAAGACACCGCAGGACACAGGCACCACCGTGGACGTGGTGACTCAGAGGTGACGAGTCTCTGGGGCAGGGTGTGCCCGTGTGTGAGTGCACGTCTGCGGGTATGAGTGTGTAAATAGGGAAAGGCGTGCGTGTTCCACACTTTCTAATTTAGAACAGGTGTCCGGGAAGCCCGGTGACATCCGTGCCTGACCTCTGACCTGCTGGCTCTGAGAAAACGCTCTTGGGTTTTCTTTTTCTTTTCTTTTCTTTTTTTTTTTTTTATTTTTTTGACAGGCAGAGTGGACAGTGAGAGAGACAGAGAGGAAGGTCTTCCTTTGCCGTTGGTTCACCCTCCAATGGCCACCGTGGCCGGCGCACCGCGCTGATCCGATGGCAGGAGCCAGGTACTCATCCTGGTCTCCCATGGGGTGCAGGGCCCAAGCACTTGGGCCATCCTCCACTGCACTCCCTGGCCACAGCAGAGAGCTGGCCTGGAAGAGGGGCAACCGGGACAGAATCCGGCGCCCTGACCAGGACTAGAACCTGGTGTGCCGGCGCCGAAAGGCAGAGGATTAGCCTAGTGAGCCGCGGTGCCGGCTCGCTCTTGGGTTTTCTAAGCCACCGGGTTTGCGGCCATTTGTGAGGGCAGCAGTGGCCACCCACCTGCGGCCAGGTGTGTGAACGAGGTTGGGAGGGGGCAGGGCTGACCTTGGGACGGAGAACAGGAGTGGCAGCAGGTGAGTCAGCAGTGACTCCGGCGTCCTGGTGGGGAGAGCACCGCCACCGCCGGAACCGGGACCCTGCGAGTTCCCCGCCCGCCCCCGGAGCCCCCGCTCGCATCTGCGTAGCAGACCTGGCGGAGCAGCCGCGGCTGGCGTCCTACGGCTGGGGGAGAACACGTGTGAGCCCCGGTGTTTATTCTGTCCGTCAAGGCTGCCGCGTCTGTGCCTTTGTGTCCTAGCGGCGGACGCAGTGCAGCGACCCTGGGAGGAACAGTGCTCCCAGGGGCTGGGCTTCCACGCTTCCTACAGGCTCCCGGGGAGGGGTCTCGTTCCCAGGGAGGTCTGAACTGCACACCTTTAGCTCTGCAGTAGCTGGGGAATTCTCTCAGCTTCTCTCGATACCACCAGGTGTGTGCCAGCTCAGGCGTGGGCCCCAAAACCTTGTCTATGATCCGTGCAGGTGCAGATTGGTCTGGAGCACACACTGGCACAGCGGTTAAGCCAGCACGTGCAATGCCAGCCCACACCAGAGGGCCAGTTCCAGTCCCCGCTGCTCTGCTTCTCATGCAGCTCCCTGTCAATGGACCTGGGACAGCAGTCTAGGGTGACCCGAATACTTGGGCCCCGCCACCGTGTAGAGGGCCTGGATAGAGTTCCAAGCTCCTGGTCTCAGCCTGGCCTGTTGTGGGCATTTGGAGAGTGAACCAGAGAATGGAAGATCCCCCCTACCCTGTCACTCTGCCTTTCAAATAAATGAAATACATCTTTTTGAAAAGAGCCCACATTGAGTTGTCACGATGAACTCAAGCCCAAGTCCAAGTTTACGTCCATGACAAGGACCTGGCTGAATGAACCAGAGCTGTTAGCCTCCCAAGTTCCCCGGGGCTCACTCTTCCACCTCCTCTGTGCTGACTGTGTTGTGGGCCAGGCGCTGAGCAGCTCAGCAAAGATCAAATCCTGCACACCCACTTGGATCAGACACCCGGGGCCCAGAGACACTGAGGGGAGGGGGAAGAAGCTGGCACAGCCTCGGTCCCGCAGGGAGCTTTTCTGACTTCCCGATTTTGAATCAGATCCTAGAAAATCACTGCATTCTTACCAACGAGGCAAGCCCACGATGCACCACAGGGACAGGGCCAACCCTGGCATCCCTGTGCTGGTGAAACGGCACAGTCTTACCTATGGTGCAGTCTACACCCCAGACACCGTCCTAGGCTCCAGCCTCCCCACCATTGCTGGAAGCCAGGTGGCCACATGGCCCAACCACCAGTATCAAGCTCCGCCCCCACCCTAATGGGATTCGCTGCTTCTGCTTCCCTGCCCGCCCCTCCCCCCGCAAAGTTTTAAAAGGACCTGCTCCTGAACACGTGTGCTCTCTCCCAGTCTCCTGATCTCTGTCTCTCGTTCTCTCTCTCAATCTCTCTCTTGCGCTTTCCTCTCCCTCTTTTCCTTCTCCGCCCCTTCCCTCCGGTCTGTCAGGTTTCCCCCTATCAATAAACCCTTCCCTGACTGGAGTGTCTGGTGTGTTCTGTGGTGGCCTTACACCTTGGGTATAGGAGGCATCAGCCTAGAGCCCCAGTAGCATCCTGCGGCTGGAGAAGACGGGCCCTCCTGCAAGCTCTGTGGTTGCACAGCACAGGTGGGCGGGACGGGGCAGGTGGGACAGGAGCATGAAGTAGGCCCGGGAGTGGGGGCAGGTGGGATAGGAGCAGGAAGTATGGGTGGGAGTGGGGGCAGGTGGGACAGGAACAGGAAGTAGGCCCGGGAGTGGGGGCAGGTGGGATAGGAGCAGGAAGTAGGCCCGGGAATGGGGGCAGGTGGGATAGGAGCAGGAAGTAGGCCCGGGAGTGGGGGCAGGTGGGATAGGAGCAGGAAGTAGGCCCGGGAGTGGGGGCAGGTGGGACAGGAACAGGAAGTAGGCCCAGGAGTGGGGGCAGGTGGGACAGGAGCATGAAGTAGGCCCGGGAGTGGGGGCAGGTGGGACAGGAGCATGAAGTAGGCCCGGGAGTGGGGGCAGGTGGGACAGGAGCAGGAAGTAGGCCCGGGAGTGGGGGCAGGTGGGACAGGAGCAGGAAGTAGGCCCAGGAATGGGGGCAGGTGGGACAGGGGCAGGAAGTAGGCCCGGGAGTGGGGGCAGGTGGGACAGGAGCAGGAAGTAGGCCCAGGAATGGGGGCAGGTGGGACAGGAGCAGGAAGTAGGCCCGGGAGCGGGGGCAGGTGGGACAGGAGCAGGAAGTATGGGCGGGAATGGAGGCGGGGAACATGTCCAGCTGTAAGGCTGTCGCAAGAGTTTCAAAGCCGGGGGGTGGGGGTGGATTGTGGCCTGGTGGTCAAAGCCACCATCTGCAGTGCCGGCTTCCCATATGGACACCAGTTGAGTCCCAGCTATTCCACTTCCCATCCAGCTCCTTGCTGATGCACCTAGGAAGGCGGCAGAAGATGTCCTAAGTGCCTGGGCCCCGGCACCCATGTGGGAGACCCAGAAGAAGCTCCTGGCTCCTGGCTTTGGCCAGGCCCAGCTCCAGCCAGAGTGGTCATTTGGGAAGTGAATCAGCAGATGGAAGAAACCTGCCCCCCACCACCCCACATCTCTGCCTTTCAAATAAATCAATCAATCTTTTTGAAAAACAGAGTTGCAAAGGGATGTCCCATTGTATGCGGGTACCCAAGTGTCTTTCCACGAGTGCATATGAAAAAGACAAGGTAAGAGAGGGGAACCTACTTCCATGACGCACAGGACATCTACAGGGAAAGCGAGTGAGAAAATGGAAGGAAAACTTGGTACAAAAAAATAAAATCCATGCATAGATGTTTTCATAACATGCATTTTTCATCATCTTTTTAAGGGTCTTCATAGAATCAATGAAAAGCTATTTTTTTAAAAAAAAATCA